GATGATATTAACATAGTGTATTAGTGAGTCAACCAGTGTTGTTTTGATAAAGGGATAAAGAAAATATTTGTATTGAGTTTGAAGCGATTCTTCATCACCGGACCTCAGGAGGCCTTGATGAATCAAAGACATCTCCTCTCCTCCTCTCTCCCTCCTCTCTCTCCTCTCTCCGCTCTCTCTCCTCTCCCCTCCTCTCCTCCTCCTCTCTCTCTCTCTCTCTCTCCTCTCCCCTCTCAAATCATAAGTGTACTCATAACTTATTTTACACAGCTAATAGGAAAGGAGTTGGGGGGAATGGATGACAGGCGGATCAATATTTCATGAGGGATATGTATGTGGTCAAGACTGGCAGACACACAGGAACCAAGCTGCTACTTTGTTTTTTAATAATCTTTTAACCCAGAGATACTGCCAGAGGAATCTCAACATAACAACTGCTTTGTTTTAAAATCGACCGGAACTACAGAGTCTCAAAAACAACGATTGTAAGGCCACCATCCAGATGTATCAGTTTAACTGTGCACTGATGTTCATTCAGTTCTAAATCCAGTTTGTTGACAAAAAGATGGGTTTATTGCACTGTATTGCGAGACAAAGACAACATCTTCTCAATTGGTCCATATTGTTCTCTTGACAACAAAATGTTCAAGACTGTAAAAACATCTAATAGTAACCTCAGACTCAAGCAGTGCGTTTGTGAGATCATTGTGCCTGTAATTTTGGGAATGGTGGGAAAAACGAGTCTTCGCGAGGGAGAGGAGAGAGAGAGAGAGAGAGAGGAGCGGAGAGGAGAGAGAGAGAGAGAGAGAGCAGAGAGGAGAGGAGAGAGAGAGGAGAGAGGAGAGAGAGAGAGAGCGAGAGAGAGAGAGAGCGAGAGAGAGGGAGAGCAGGAGAGGAGAGCGAGAGGGAGAGAGCAGAGAGAGAGAGAGAGAGGAGAGAGAGGGAGAGAGAGGGAGAGAGAGCAGGAGCGAGAGAGAGAGAGAGAGAGGGAGAGAGAGAGAGCGAGAGAGAGAGCGAGGAGGGCGAGGAGAAGAGGGAGAGAGAGAGAGGGAGGCGAGCGAGAGCGAGCAGGCATACGAGGAGAGAGAAAGAGAAGAGAAGCAGGAGACGGTAGAGAGAGAGGGCGTAGAGAGAGAGAGCGAGAGACGAGAGATAGATCTCTCTCTCTCTATCGATATCTCTCTCTCTCTCTCTCTCTCTTTTACTCTTCTCTTCTACTCTCTCTCTCTCTCTATCTATCTCCCCTCTCAAATCGTAAGTGTACTCATAACTTATTTTACACAGCTAATAGGAAAGGAGTTGGGGGGAATGGATGACAGGCGGATCAATATTTCATGAGGGATATGTATGTGGTCAAGACTGGCAGACACACAGGAACCAAGCTGCTACTTTGTTTTTAATAATCTGTTAACCCAGGAGACTGCCAGAGGAATCTCAACAGAACAATTGCATTGATAAAAGGCCACTCAATCCATATGTAATTCAGTTTAAACATCGGCACTCTGTCTTGACTTACAGTTCCTAAAACATTCCAGTCTTTTGCCCATCCATTAAAGATGGGTATTGCACTGTAATACTGTGCGAGACAAGACAACATCATTCTCAATTGGTCCATTATTGTTTGCTTGACAACAAAATGTTCAAGACTGTAAAAACCTCAATAGTAACCTCAGACTCAAGCAGTGCGTTTGTGAGATCATGTTGCACTGTAATTTTTTCTGGACTTCAATATCATGTGCCTGCATGCACATTTCTTAACCAATATATATTCTAAGTTTAGGCCTATTTAAAACATTTAGCGCCTATTAATTTTGTGTGCACGAATATTCATTCTCAGTCCTGCTTATATTGTTGGTAAACACAATTTCCCTGGATTGTATCAAAGGAGCAGCAACAAGGGCAGGTGTTAAGCCAGCAGGACTCTCTGTTTCCCGGGAAAGTTGTTCTCACTGTCCCACTGAGAGTATATAATAAGCAATCAGGATGCAACAGCAGGTAGACCACACGCTAGGGTCCCCGCACCTATGGGAATCTCACTGCCAATCGGCCTCGCTTACAGCCTCCCATGGCCTGATTAAGCAGGACCTGCCCAGCATTACCATTCATGAAGTTGTGAGACCTGTTAAAAAGCCCAAAATGTGTAGAGTGAAGGAGGGATGAATGTGGGTACTTTGTCACAGGTGAATGGAAGCTTCACACAGCTCTCTCATCAGGCAGCAGTACTGCATGTGCATTGTACTGGGTGATACCAAAAAAACTCCCACAGTGGATCCAAAGCCTGTCTTACAGCTATACGTTCTCATTATGTATGTTTTAATGGTCACCCCTAGGACACCCTTATCAGTATGCCTGGAAGACACGGGCACAGTGGGGTAGAATAATGATTTTCTTATGAACTCTGTACCATGCTCCCGGCGACATCCATCACATACCTCTGAACCTAGAGGGTGTTAGCGCTTGATCTCAGGCACGATGTTGAATCCTGTAACCTTTAACTGTGACCAGGGGTTGCTGGAAAGCACCAGGAGGAAGCTGGGACAGTCCTCATCACATGATTTCCTCACCAGATGATAGACAGAGACCTCACAGTATCAGAAGAGGACAGGATACAGCAGCTGTGAAAACAGATGGACATATTGTAGAAAGAGCCAAATATGCAACTAATGTTGGAGTGGTTTAATATCCCAGACAAAGGCAACAATTGTTTACAGAGTATTCTAAAGCCGAAAGAATGAGTAGCACTGAGCTGAAGATTGGACACACTGAATAAAAAAAATCAAGACAGGAGAGAAAAGGGTAATCTTGCCTACAAGTTATCACGATGTTAGGTGTCTGACATACAGTGCCTTTCGGAAAGTATTAAGACCCCTTGACTTTTTCCACATTTTGTTACGTTACAGCCTTATTCTAAAATTCATCAATCTACACACAATACCCCATAATGACAAAGCAAAAACAGGTTTGTAGACATTTTTGCTCATTTAGAAAAAAAAAGAAAAAAAAAAGAAAATATACATTTACATAAGTATTCAGACCCTTTACTCAGTACTTTGTTGAAGCACCTTTGGCAGCGATTATAGCATCGAGTCTTCTTGGGTATGACGCTACAAGCTTGGCACACATGTATTTGGGGAGTTTCTCCCATTCTTCTCTGCAGATCCTCTCAAGCTCTGTCAGGTTGGATGGGGAGCGTTGCTGCACAGCTATTTTCAGGTCCGGGCACTGGCTGGGCCACTCAAGGACATTCAGAGACTTGTCCCGAAGCCACTCCTGCGTTGTCTTGGCTGTGTGCTTAGGGTCGTTGTCCTGTTGGAAGGTGAACCTTCGCCTCAGTCTGAGGTCGTGATCGCTCTTGAGCAGGTTTTCATCAAGGATCTCTCTGTACTTTGCTCCGTTCATCTTTGCCTCGATCCTGACTAGTCCCCCAGTCCCTGCCACTGAAAAACATCCCCACAGCATGATGCTGCCGCCACCATGCTTCACCGTAGGGATGGTGCCATGTACCCTCTAGAGCTATGTCAGTGACCATCGGGTTCTTGGTCACCTCCCTTTTCCCCCGATTGCTCAGTTTGGCCGGGCGGCCAGCTCTAGGAAGAGTCTTGGTGGTTCCAAACTTCTTCCATTTAAGAATTATGGAGGCCACTGTGTTATTGGGGACCTTCAATGCTGCAGCAATGTTTTGGTACCCTTCCCCAGATCTGTGCCTCGACACAATCCTGTCTCAGAGCTCCTTGGACAATTCCTTCGACCTCATGGCTTGGTTTTTGCTCTGACATGCACTATCAACTGTGGGACCTTATATAGACAGGTGTGTGCCTTTCCAAATCATTTCCAATCAATTGAATTCACCACAGGTGGACTCCAATCAAGTTGTAGAAACATCTCAAGGATGATCAATGGAAACAGGATGCACCTGAGCTCAATTTCAAGTTTCATAGCAAAGGGTCTGAATACTTATGTAAATAAGGTATTTCTGTTTTTTATTTGTAATACATTTGCAAACATTTCTAAAAACCTGTTTTTGCTTTGTCATTATGGGGTATTGTGTGTAGATTGCTGAGGATTTTATTTTATTTGATCTATTTTAGAATAAGGCTGTAACGTAACAAAATGTGGAAAAAGTCAAGGGGTCTGAATACTTTCCAAAGGCACTGTATATACAGATCGACACACATAGCCTGTCTAACCATGTAGGACCAACACGGACAACAAGATGAGAATGATGTATGGCCTCATTGTAATAAATCCGCAAAATGCACTGACTTGACAGCGTTAATATTTTTTTCTATCAGCTCCTATACAGCACCTAACGGTCAGCATGCTTTCACACTGCCTTCAATTCACTGCTTTAAAAATGCTAAATTCTCTCAGCCTCATTGCAAAATGTGTAGAATAGCATGAGATTAGCTATAAAACTGCAAAATCTTCTTTCTGCCCCCATGGCAATATGTGTAAAATTGCTGGAAATTAGCTTTAAAACAGCAACATTTTCTCTCAGTTTATGGCAAAATGTGTAGAATAGCATGAGATTAACTATAAAACTGCACATTTTTCTATTTGCCCCATGGCAAAATGTATAGAATTGTAAGAATTTCCCTCAAAATAATTTGCTATAAATAATGATATAATAATTGCCTTGCTCAGACCTTGCTTCTACTGTATATTAAGGCTCTGGGCGAGAATTTCATTGTACAGTCACTCCAATACCCTGCTGCTGTGTTTGCATTCTTGATGTATAAAGTACTTATTCCTATGAATGAAAGACTGTTATCGAGACATTATGCCTGACATGAATGGGTAATTGATCTCAACCAAACAAATGCAGTCTCATTGGATATTTTCATTGAATTATTATTATCATTCACTGCTTGTGATGGAAACAACTCACTTGGTCAAACAGCAAGTACTGTAATTGTGTGCTAATACGATGGGTGTTTTTCATTTGATAGTACCTGATTTGTCTTGAAACCCACTTGTGGTTCTGCTGACCTGTAGCTGTTATGGAGCTGCGATGCTCCACTGAGCCCTCTGTTGCCCTGAGGGAGGTGAGCTCCATGTGGTCTGATCCCTACTGTACCTGGGCTGAGCCACTGCTGAGGCACCACAGGCACCAGGGTGAATAGAATGCACCCCAGAAGGCCAGCATATATAACCCTAGGGGCCAACATCTGTACTGTAGTTTACCTGCCACAATATAATGTATATTCTCAGGTCAGCTGATGGTCACTTAGCACCAGTCCTGGAGAGCTCTGAGGCACGGCAGATGCTATCGTCCCAGTGGAGGGAGATGGTGTAGTTATGGGTCAGCTAGCAGCCACAGCTGAGAACTCTGACCAGAGAGGGAATCCTTCTGGAAACATTCATGGGCTGGTTGAGGAAACAGTGTGAGCATAATCAGCCTTCCAATACAACACTACAGGGGAACATTCATAACAGGGGTTGTTTTGTAGACTCAAAGGCAGTAGTGAGAATTCCTCCTAGGACTTGGCAAGCAGAACTGAGATGATTCAGTTTCTTTCTGTAAGTGTTGGCAAAATGCTGCCTCATACAGATGTTGGATCTTAATTTGATCACCCTGTTGCAGCATAACTTTCCTGCAATCAGGAAATTTAAAACTTGTAGTGTATTTGAGGTTTAAAAGGCTTCTGAAGTTTGTAATTTCCACTTTGACGTTTTGTACTTGATTTTCCCTTTTAAAAAATGTATCAACCCCTACAAAAATGTCCATGAATTATAATCCACATAATAATTCACATTTTCTTTTGCTGAAGGATTATTTTCCTGCTGTAGCAAACTGGCTCAAATTAAGATCCTACATCTGTAGAATCATAGTGGTGGCGCGTGGCCTGCACCCCGTGCCTGCGGTCATGGCTTGATGAGCCTAATGAACCCATACAATGGCGGAATGCAAAGGGAAAATTGGATTTTCACTTGAGCACACAGAATAGTTTGATTTGATAATTTAGGCACTAAACACAACTCTCAAGTTACACTCTGACTTGCAAATTATTCTTGCATCAAATGTGGTTATTTTATGTGGCATGATTTCATGTGGTTATTATAAGAATGTAAAATGTTATGAACAGATGTTCAAAGCTGCTTGTACAGAGTTCAATGCATGTGCATTTGATTCTGTAAGGTTCTTTGTACATTACATTTTAACATAAATTAAATATATAGCGTTTATTTCAGACAATAATTTATTTACCACAGGCTAGCTTACCAACAGTTATATTCAGTAGTACAGTGATTGCAGGAGTTCTGAATAATTCTTGGCTTTTTCTGTTACGTCTCAGGCCACAAGATGGCATCATTTATTGCACGATGAAGCATGTGCATTGGAGCTGATATGCAAACCCTACCCTACTTTTATAATAATAACAAGCCATTTAGCAGACGCTTTTATCCAAAGCGACTTACAGTCATGTGTGCATACATTTTTACGTATGGGTGGTCCCGGGGATCGAACCCACTACCCTGGCGTTACAAGCGCCATGCTCTACCAATTGAGCTACAGAGGACCACTTTTAACACCTCTATCATTAATCGATAGTGACGAAATGATCAGTTATACTGTGATTCTGAATCAATATAATTTAGAATATTTTCTTCAAAAGTAGAATGAATCATGATCAATCAATTAATCTAACAATCTTTACTTGAATCATCATTAGGAACTTAGAAACAACTTGATCACCTTGATGGAGTTGGATTTTAAGTATCTAATGAGCCCAAATGTAACAAGGTGAACTTTTAAAGATACAACAATATCCAGCAACGCATAAAATGGTATCAGTAAAAGGTCTGCATCTCTTTAGTCATTGTTTAAGTGTCACTAATATGCAAAATAAATACTTTAAACTATCCCTGTGTTATAACTGTGGCATTCCCATATATCCTTATGGTTTGTGTGAGGTTTGGAAATAACATATAATAGACTTGCCATGAATTATACCATGGAGTGTTGCTGAAGTCATAGTCCACTTACATTATTATCACACTTCTTCATCATCATCATGAATCAGCGCAGTATTGAATCATCTACTCATCATCTATTTATGTCTGTGCGTCTAAGCTCTGTATTCAAAACTAGAATGCATAGTGGAATATTTTGTCAACTTCACAATAGCCTACAGTACAAATTGAGATAAAAAAAAGTATGTGCAGACTATGTGCAATCCATATCTCAAGCACACCCCTAAAGAGTGAATATGGGCGACTGATACAAAAAAAGGGCTCTGGGCAGTGGGCACGTCATGAGTAGGCAGGTTACTATACCACCAACTTCGTTTCGCATGCCTTCTCATCGAACAGCTACAGTTTCTGCCAACGCCTCTTGAAATGATCGACGCTTCCCCCATCCATTTCCATTGCTCACAGCGCATCCTCTACCAATAACCGCGGTCGGAGGCGCAGCCTCTCGTTGTGGGAGGTTCATTGCATGGTCCTCGGCCCTGAATGGGAGTGGAGAGGGATGCAGGAGGATTCGTAAACTCCACAGGACCCGTGGAAAATGTTGAATTAGCCCCTATCTGCGAACTGGGGTTGTATTCGTAGTGGTTCAATCACAGCCCAGTGAATGAAAGACAGAGATTGACGCTTGACGCACCGTATCACTTTGGAGTAGATTTGGTTCTTGGTCGTTGGAAGATTCTGTGCTGGGCTCCAGACTGTTGAGGAGCGTGTCGTTCAGGTGACACAGACACTTAACTTTACGGACTGTGTATCATTTATCTGCTATGCAATTGGGAGCAAGTGGATGTACATGGGATCCATAAAATGACGAGCAGGTGGATGTATTTAACTGTCAAGCAAGATTTACGCGCATTTATAGAGATTGAGAAAATAACCCTGAATTAAATCTCAGCAGTAATTCGTGCACGGTATGCATGTGTGCCTTGTTGATCGGACTGAGTTGGGTAGACATAATCATGGACTGTCATCAGGCGAAGAATATGCCAATGCATTGTAGGTTCCACAATCGTAACGATTGGAATTGACATAGCCAGTCTGTAGACGGGCCGGGGGAAGTATGGAGAGACAGGTCTAGATTCACTCATTCGGATTCACCCGTTGAGAGCACACTTTGGAAACTAAAGTGTTTTCCTTGGAAACTTTTATGCAGGAGTCCGACACACTCAAAGATGTCAGCCTGAGCAAACCGTTGTAAACGCCACTATAAAATTACATGAAATATAGGTAGGCCTATATAAGTAAATCATATGGGGGTCCCTCATGGAAATAGACTACACTAATAATAATCATAATTTAAAAAAAGCTTTTAGCGGTGTCTCCCATATGGGGAAGTGACCTCTATCGCAAGTGATGACATGTTTTTCAAGAAGTGCGAGGCAGAGGCGGTTGAGAATGAAAGAACAGTATTTTTGCATGAGTTCTCCGGGATATGTTGATGTAAAAGTAGGCTACCACATTCTAGGTAAGGAAAAAGGTTACTTTGCATCGGATGGCTTCCAACGCCTCTCCAACTTCGTTGGCTCTTATCCACACGAATAATGAATTTTGTTAATTAAGTGTCCCAAAAGCTATTCGGATCATTTAGGATGCTGTATTTACGTCGTGTTTATCAACTGTTCATCCGGGTGAGAGGGCATCAATCAACGCCAGAAGTTTCAAAAACCGAAAGTAGGCTACCACAGGTGTTCATTACAAAAAGGTAGGACACATGTTTTCCCAGATACATGACTTAATTCACTAAACGTTTGTTTTTTCTTGAATGGAATTGGTGATGAGTGATCTATATTAATTCATTATTACTTTTGTCGAATTGCTTTGGCGTTAACCTTGGCTCCAGGCTAATTGCGGATGGGCAGGACATTGCCTGTGAACGAGATTACTTTGGTGTTGAGCAATTGATTCAAATCAGAAAGATGAATATTGATTGGTTTCAAAACATGCTGCAAAACAAGCAGCAAACACTGTCAGTGATACCAATGCATCTCTCTGCATGTATATTGTCCAGCTGTAGTGTGATTATCAGGCACTCTGTTCTATCTTGTGCACATAGTGACTCAGACCAGCAGCATGCTTACCTGTGGATAAGAGTGATCCCTGTGGGTTGAGTGTGGACCCCCACGTCCTCCCTGCTCCTTCTCCTGCCTCGGTTCCCGTCACCTTCAGCCCTACTGTCCACATGCAGGCCAAGAAGAGGTACCTGCTCGTGTCTCTAGGGGCCTGTCTTCTTCTGGTTGCCTACCTGTGGGGACTGCAGATCGGGGAGTTCCAAAACCACAACCAGCAACTCTACAGAGTCGCCCAGAGCCCCGGCCTCGGCCTGCCCAGACAGCGTTGGCCTGAGTGGACCCACCCGCTTAACACCTACCTGGAGGACGGAGAGCAGGAGGAGGACAGCCCTCTCCTCCACCACCAGCACACCTCTCCCCGGGAGAGACGGGAGGTCCGCAACAACATCTACAAGAGCAGGAGGTGCCGCATGGACACATGCTTCGACTTCAGCCGCTGCCAGAGGGGGTTCAAGGTGTACGTCTACCCCCTGCTGAAGGGGGAGAAGGTGTCTGAGAGCTACCAGAAGATCCTGACAGCTGTCGAGGATTCCCGGTTCCACACCACAGACGTCAACGAGGCCTGTCTGTTTGTGCTGGGCATTGACACTCTGGACCGGGACCAGCTGTCAAGCCAGTACATTCACAATGTCAAGGCTAAAATACAGAGCCTCCCTACGTGGAACGACGGGAGGAACCACCTCATATTCAACCTTTACTCTGGCACCTGGCCAGCTTACACAGAGGAGCTGGGCTTTGATATTGGCCAGGCCATTTTGGCCAAAGCCAGCATTGATATGGATAACTTTAGGCCACACTTTGATGTGTCCATTCCTTTGTTTTCAAAAGACCATTCTCAAAAAGGAGGGGACAAGGGTTATTTGACACTCAACAATGTCCCTCCATCAAGGAAATATTTACTGGTTTTCAAAGGGAAGAGGTATCTGACTGGTATCGGTTCAGAAACCAGGAACGCTTTATATCACATTCACAATGGGGAAGATATCATTCTTTTGACCACCTGCAAGCATGGGAAGGACTGGGAAAAGCATAAGGATGCAAGATGCGACAGGGACAATGAAGAATACTCAAAGTAAGTTCCCCTCTTATGTCCTTTCGCTGGTTCAGGGCGGGGCTAATTACTAAAAGTGAGTCACATATTTCACAATGGTATGTTTTTCACTCTACAGCACAGGATGTACAGACAGTCTGACACAACATATCAAGGGGGTAATCCCTATTTGAGGAAGACACTCCTAGCACTGTGACTATCATCATACTGCAGTTGCTCATCCATGTTAGTTGGATAATCCTAACAACGTTTGCATCCAGTTTTACTTTCTTATCTTGCTACAGTATCTATCTACCAATATTTTGGAGCAACGGGGAAAAAGCAGCTTTGGTGGTATAGGTTGGCTGTGATCTTTGCCTGGTTTTTATAGATGCTTTAGAATACCCATGAGAGTACTGCTAGTCTGCAATATAGTCGAACATGTTCTTTAGTTCTGCAGCCTGAGTAAAAGCACAGAGACAAAACACTTGAGAGATCTGTGTGCAAAGAATCCCTTGCCACTGAGCAGCTCTGCAACAGCTGACAAAGAAATACGTTTTTCAGCAGTTGAGCAAAAGGGTATGGGCTTTCAGTGGATTGCAAATGTATTGGCCTTGCTTGAATCGGAGCATAAAGAAGTTGTTACTCTTTTTAAAACACATGTCTCAGTAAAGTTACTAAAGTATTGGTGCCCAAACGAAATGTACGTAATCCAGTAATCCCATACAGAAACATGTGACAGTTTTTAAATTAGCCTCATTTAACCTGGAACCACATGGGAAGTATCCTTACCTTCAGGCTCTGATCAGACCCTACACCCAAACGAGGGCACTACATTCATCCACCTCTGGCCTGCTAGCCCCCCTACCTCTACGGAAGCACAGTTCCCGCTCAGCCCAGTCAAAGCTATTCGCTGCTCTGGCACCCCAATGGTGGAACAAGCTCCCCCACGACGTCAGGACAGCGGAGTCACTGACCACCTTCCGGAGACACTTGAAACCCTACCTCTTTAAGGAATACCTGGAATAGTATAACAGTAATCCTTCTACCCCCCCCCCCCCCCTCCTAAATTGAATGCACCAATTTGTAAGTCGCGTCTGCTAAATGACTTAAATGTAAGTATTGACTTCCGTTGTATCGGACTCTCCTGATTTGTTTTGTATGGCTGGATTTTCCCCCACTTCCCATTGTTGCAGGATGGGCATGTTTGTGCAGTGAAGACCATGTCATCACTGGTAATGCTCAGTCTTACTTACGTTTTCAACTTGCACTCCAGCCCTTAGTTATTTCAGTGCCTGGCTCGACCTCATTGGTTATTAGTATGAATGAATGTCCCACAGTTGTTTTTAGGATGGTCAGAGAGTTGGAGTGTGGAACACATCCTGTGAGATCTTTTAAGGGTTCTTGTTACAGTTCTGGCTCTGTGCCAAATCACATCACAAACTGTTTGATCAGACCAATAAGATCAACATTTTAAAAATGTCTTCAAGCTCACATAGAGAAAGATTTAACAGCACTGTTTGAAGAGAAACCAATGAGGCCTACAGTATAATTCCAAAAGATTGATTACCAAAGATATCAAATAACTCTCTCAGACAGTGACAGGAAAGTAAACAATTTTGTACATTAATTCAGATACAGTGTGGGCAAAACAAGGTCCACAACTGAAGATACTCTCTGTGTGAATAAAATGGAAGGGGATTTCAAAGCCTCAGTCAGAACAGTCAATAATTGGCCTTCAATTGAATTAAACTGGAGCTGAGGGATTGAGGACGATCACACCCCATGCTGGACAGCCATGGATTGAAGTAAGATTATTTAACTGTACCGCAATAACGTCCCCCAGAACCCAGCACAACAGAACCATGTGTCTCAGTCACATAACTGACGATGACACGATGTCCCTATTTAACATGGTAGACTTATTTCATTACTAAAATGGTATAGAAGAAGTCCTCAACGCCTGTGTGTCTCAGAAGACAGTCAGATTTCTTTGTCTGGTCCTTGTTCTTTTCTACCTGAGGAGAGCGAGATCCTGCTGATGAGATGTATTGATAGGCTGTAAATTACAGTTTCTCACTGTTGGGTGCTTTCTGCAGATCTATCACCAGCCATGAAAGTAACAATCCTTTGACAGTGCTTTAATTACAGACTACATTTAACCTGTTGTTTCCCAGCCTCGCTGGCAGACAAAGAATACATTATATTTAATTAGTGAAGAGCTATAGACTAGTTCTTGCTTTTACTCTAACTACATGTTACATGAAAAACCTGTTGAATGAATTGTTATAGATTTTTCAATGGTTTCCGACCGATATTACGCTTGACATTTTATTAATTTAGCACACACTCTTATTCAGAGCGATTTACAGTTAGTGCATTCATCTAAGTTAGCTATCAGCGTTTACCCCCCAAAAAATATACCACTCCATTATTGGTTATGACCAGTCATGCCTTGCTTCTTTATAAATGCATTGATATCCGGGTTACTTGCCAGACTTTCTGACAATAAGGTCTACACTGGGGTATGCATATGATCTAAAACATTTTGTATGGGAGCTTCCTCAATCCTGCACATCCACGTACGAAATTAGACAAATGGACCAAACACCTCAAAGGTAGTTAGAAGGTGATTGTCAATCACTCAATCATCTATCTCAGTTGATAATGTCAGCAGGAAGAAAAAGCTGGGAATTGATTAATACTTGCTCAACAAAAACCAATGAGAGCATGAAAAGAACTGGATTGTTCTGTGCTGTAAAATTGGTAAATGCGTTTGAATTTTCTTTCAAGTGAATGTATTGCCGTCTTGACTAACTGGAATTGAAAGGGTTCATTTGTGAGGTTGTAACTTTGACATTGGTAATATGGAGCAGCAGTTGTGCACCGGTGCAGTTAATTCCAGCCAGGCAACGCAGGTACGGTTTTGGACATTATTTTGTTTGTATCTTGCATATGTCTAGAAACCCTGCCAACATTCAAACAATGCAGCGGCATCTGCTGACACAGAGACATAGATTTGGTGGGTAAACAATGTCATATGTTTGCTCTTGAAGATTTTCATTTTCTTCTGCCGTATTAAGTGTTGTTGCACTTGCAATCCTAGTTGCCTGACTTGGTCGTATCTGATACCTCGCTTGGACTCCAAATAAGTAATAGAGGAATGGGACTTGACTCAATCACAGGTTCTTGTTTTTTCTCCCTTTTTCCTATCTGGACTTGTGCATCATAGAAACCAAGCGCCAGGCATCAAATGAAATGTGCCAAAGGTGTGGGTCACTCATGATTGATACCATCCATCTTCACGGGGTGGGGGGGGGGTTGGCGCAAAAAAGCCATAAAACACTGGCTAGTGGCAGTATCGGTTGTGATATGAATAAATGTTTTCCTGAGATATCTTGACACGCCTGAAAGAAAAGAGTTCTGGTATTGGACTTATTTTTCTTCTTGTATGGCTGTGGATTGGATAATTGCTTTTATTTATAGACTTGATTATATACATTTAGGTTGTGATTGGAAATTACATTGGCAAATTTCTACAATTAGAGATGGCAACACTAACACTTAATTCCATATGTTTTGTGTAATTAAATGCAAACAAATAACATGTTGTAAAGTCATTCCAATTCTTACTTATGGCAGTCTGAAGCACTATCCCCTTAACATTTGTCAAACCATGACGTTGATAAAATGCACTAACAATAGTGTAATTTTAGAGCCATTTTCTAGATGTTTACAAAAGCAAACAAGCTATGTACTTTGATCCTAAACTACTTCATCATGGCACACAAATTAGCTCCCACAATTAGTGCATGTATGCTTTCATGTCTAAATAAAGTGGATCTAAATTAAGAGGCAAAGCATCATACTCACTGTAGTTAAGGTGATCTGATTACATTTGAGTATCTCTGAGAGCTGTTGACCTGTGTGTGGTGTGCTCGTTCTTGCTCGGTGCGTGTGTGTGAGCAACAGATTCACCCATGGTGGCCCTCCGCCCATTCTAGCTCCTCTCAGCATCTTACCTTGGAAGAGGTGAAATCTATACAGAATCACCACACTCACTAAAACAACCCTTGTGTCAAGGGCGGTTATAAGTTATACTTATGCATCCCTTCATGGGTATTGTGATTTGTAAGTCGGATACCCTCTCGCATTACCGGCTCTTCAAATGCCTTTTTTCTCTGCCGATAGGCAACGTGCATGTAATGGACATTAAGAACGGTTATTGCTGTATTTTCATTTTGTCCTTAATCTCTTTCTTTTTTTTTCTTCTTTAAAAAAAAAACTGACAATCAGATCTAATGTACTAAACAGACTGGGCTCATATGCCTTATTTTGGTTATCGGACATGTCTTTGCTTTCTTGTGCGTGTGGGATGGTAGCCTGTAGTGTTTTCAATGGTCTGATGGTGAAGAGGAGGATAATGATTGTTGATGTTGTTATTATTATTATATTATCATTCATATAATTCATTTAGATGTTATGATTATAATGAATAATGTTATTATAGCTATTAATAGTATTGTGTTTTATTATTATTATTAACATTATCCAGGTAGTCATACCTTCATACCAACTTTGTGCCATACCGGGATAGTTGGTAATTCTGGCACTGAACACAAGGGGTGCTGTTTTCAAACCCCACTGATACTCTGCAATCCGAAGGTTAGCAATGCTAACAAGTACATGTAAAACCCATAGAGAATGCTAACTAAATGCTAACGAGCGCATTGCGAACATTTTGTACAGTTTCTGACCTAAACTATGCAAGTAACAAAAAAATGCTATTCACAGTTTGCTGCACACACAAAACAAATATTAGCCAGCATGGCTCTTGATCCAGGAGGGGATTCTCTGCTGTTACCAAGCGATTGCTTGATTTTGGAAGAAACTACCACTAGATAGCTAACTAGCTACTAAATTTGCAAACTAAATGCACAGCTGCAGAGCATTTAGCACATTTTAGACCGTTAACTTTACCCTTTGAGGCTTACGATCACATATTTGTGATCATTGTTGAATGGTCCCTGCAGCGTACCATTGCAAATATGTGATTGGAACAGTAGCAACAGAACGTACAGTTATGATGCAACAAACGTGTCTAAACAGCATTGTTGTCTGAAAAGCATCTAAACAATGTTTTGTACTGATGGGAAATAAAGGTCTTCACAACTTTATTCCTTAATTTCACCTTTTATTGTAAAAGATAAATGCGAACTTCATCATCCAAGCATCACACAGAACACATCCACAGCCAAACTCATTCCATAAACCAGTCTAAATAACAGGTTGTGCTGACAAAAAATAAAACATAAGTTAGTGACCTAACAGCTAGACTTATTTACAATGTTCCACATCTCGGGGGAGATGCGTGTCAGCTCAGTTAACAGCAGCTACATTCTTTATGATGGGAGCCATGTTTGTTTGTTTGTTTGACAAGTGAAAACACCCTAATCCCAGAATGCCATTCACTATAAGACACAAATAATCAAAGTCTGAAAAAATATGAACTTAGTTTGGCCACTTTTCAGCATATTACAAATCTTTGATGTACTTTGTTACAGGGTATACATGAACCGGCGCACATGACTTGACAAGTCGTTCACAGTTTGACAAATGCCAAAGCAAATAAAATGTTATCACCTCACAGACCAAATACAAGCCTACTGCCTAGCCTAACATTAGCGCGAAAGCTAAAAATGGTTGCCAGTTTAGGATGAAATCATTTGAGGGGGTTTGTGGGGGGGGGGGGGGGGGGGGGGGGGGTTCAAGTCCATGGGGGGGGGGGAGAAATGGGGGAAGGTATCAAGGGGGGATATGATGCAGTAAATATTACTATGGTTGGGGATTTATCAATAAATGCGGGGCAAACACAGAAGTTTATAAGCATAAAGGGGGTCTAAGCTGGCAACCCTGAGGTACCATAGTTACAACCTGATGCCGCGTTCAAAACAACTGGGAACTCGGAAATCTCAGACTTCCCACTTCAGTCCGTTCAAGACAACTGGGAACTTTGGAACATTTTGAACGGTCATCCAACTCAGAATTGTAACTCGGGAACTCAGGCTTCATTCTAGAGCTCCGACCTGAAGATCACTGACGTCATGATTTGACACCGTATTTTTCTGAGTTCCCAGTTGTCTTGAGAGCACCATAAGTCAGTAGAGTGAACCATCCCTTCACCTCGTTTTGTTATAACATCTTTAGTCTAACAGACGCTTACGTGACAACCAGAATGCATTGTATGATGTCAACCGACATGGCGCCACACATAGCTTACCATTAGCTCATCATAATCAGTACAACCTTCAAAAAAGTATTTTACACACATCATGTGTCCATTACAATCTATGCAAGAATCGGAATGCATGATTTGTCACCAGTACTTGAATAAAACAGTAAATACATTATGCTCCATACATACAGTACCAGTCAAAAGTTTGGACACACCTACTCATTGAAGGATTTTTCTTTATTTTTGCTATTTTCTACATTGTAGAATAATAGTGAAGACATAAACTATGAAATAACGCATTGAATCAGGTTTTCATGGTACGGTCCGTATTGCTTTCTGGGCTTTTTTCAGCGGTTGAAGGTGAGCTTAGGACGCAAAATGGGGGGTCATGGGTAAGGAGGTGGTCTTTCTGGCAGTGGTGTAAAGTACTTAAGTAAAAATACTTTAAAGTACTACTTAAATCATTTTTTTTGGGGGGGGGGTGTATCTGTACTTTACTTTACTCTTTATATTTTTGTCGACTTTTACTTTTACTCCTCTACATTCCTAAAGAAAATAATGTACTCTTTACTCCATACATTTTCCCTGACACCCAAAAGTGCTCCGTTACATTTTTAATGCTTAGCAGGACAGAAATGGTCCAATTCACACACTTATCAAGAGAACATCCCTGGTCATCCCTGATGCCTCTGATCTGGCAGACTCTCTAAACACATGCTTTGTTTGTAAATTATGTGAGTGTTGGTGTGTGCCCCTGGCTATCCATAAATTAGAAAAACAAGAAAATCGTGCCGTCTGGTTTGCTTAATATAAGGAATTTGGAATGATTTACTTTTACTTTTGATACTTAAGTATATTTTAGCAATTACATTTACTTTTGATACTTAAGTATATTTAAAACCAAATACTTTTACTAAGACTTTTACTCACTTTTACTTGAGTCATTTTTTATTAAGGTATCTTTACGTTTACTCAAGTATGACAATTGGGTACTTTTTCTACCACTGCCTATTGGTATGGGGGGAGGTTTTAACGGGTGGGATATTGGAGGACAATTGGTCAGTTGTAGCTACAGTGTGCTTAGCAGTGCATATATCATTGTACAGCTATATGGATACTTGATCATCGTGGTACTTTTCAATAGTAAGTTTACAAGCACATATTATGCTAAGTATAATTGAAATTTGTATCTGATGGTAAGTGGTGAAATAAGTATGGCTAGTTATAATTGTAATGGTTTAGCAGATCATAAAAAAATACGATTAATCTTTACCTGGCTAAAAGAGAAAGAATCTAATATTTACTGTTTACAGGAAGCTCACTCTACAACTACAGATGAGGCTTTATGGATAAAAGACTGGGAGGGAGAAATGTATTTCTGTCATGGGCAAAGACATTCTAAAGGGGTGATGATATTCATTAACAACAATTTTGATCAGAATGTGCAAACTGTCTAAACCGATCCGCAAGGAAGGTGGATCCTTTTAAATATGCTATTGGACTATAAACAGTTTTGGCTCATACGGTCCAAATAATGATCATCCACACTTCTTTGAATATATTTATAACAATTTATTGAGCTCACAAGCAATATACGATCCTATTAGTATGGTGGGAGATTATAACACGGTTATAAGTACTTCAATGGACCGTAAAGGAAATCACACTACAAACTATCAAACTATTACCCTCATGCACTTAAGGAGATCACAACTATGATGAACACATTAGAACTAGTGGATATATGGAGGCTTAAATACCCTGACTTAGTGAGATGTACATGGAGGAAGCTTAATCAAGCTATTTGTCTTGACTACTTTCTTGTGTCCTCCTCATTGCACCAAAAGTTTTAAAGTATTGGTAGGAGACAGAATGCGATCGGACCACCACCTAATAATTGGCATCCACATAACTCTCTTTTAGAGATTTCACTGGACATTTTATCAAAGCCTTCTGGATGACAATCTGTTCCTATCCAAGACAAAATCATTTATAACTGATTTGTTTTCTGCATAACATAGGTACTACAGATCTCCTTATTGTATGGGACACTTTCAAGTGCGCCCTCAGAGGCTATGCTATTCAATTTTCATCATTATAACAAAAACAATTGCGGTCCAAAGAGATGAGACTTACAAAGGAAATAGAGTTACTAACAGTGCAGCTAGATAGCACAAAAAACTGTACCATTGAGACACGGAATAAATTAGAAGAAAAATAAATATGGAACTTATTCAAGAATGATCAAGTGTAGAATATTACAAACATAAAGCAAACTGTATGGAACATTTTGAAAAATGCAACAATGTATTTATATCTTCAACATAGAAATGCTACAAAAAGAATGTACAGAAAATCGTTACAAATGGAGTCATCCATGACTAACCGATTATGATATTTTTTTGTTCTCTTTTCAGTTTCCTCCATCTCCACTGAATGAAGTTAAGGAATTTTCTACTAACAATAGTGTAAAATTAACAATTGTATTGAAAGACTTGTGTGAAGGCCAAATTACAGAGGAGGAACTTATTGATGCTAGTGTTGCGCGGTATACCGAAACTTCTGTTATTTTTCGATAAATAAAATAATGGTTCAGTATTATCATTTTTGTTACGTTCGGTACTTCTGTCAATTGGGTCTCACGTGATTGAGAGGATCTGTCTATCAGCGCCATGAGCTAGAATTGTCTGGGCTTCAATAGCTCCTCAGTCCCCACCCATGCTGCACAGAAGTTAACACACTTGAATACTGCAACACGCCATGTAGAAATGTTGAAACTGTTCTTTACTGTTCGCAAAACTATGTCCATACAGGCTTGACATTTTTTACAATGCAAGATGATACCGGTAGCTTTCAGCTTTAATTGTAGGCTAACTTTTCTTGCTAGTTTACAGCTGAATTCAATACCCTAGTACTGTTTGATAACATGCTAACCATAATGAAAAATATGCTGATTTCAAAGCTGATTGTCACCGAAAATGTCACGTAGTCTCCCTCGCCACCAAAAACTAATTCACTTTCTTGTCTTCCTTTGCCTCCTGGCTGCTTTCCACTAGATTCCATTCCATTGCCATAAAATCCGATTCCAGAGCCACATTCTGCCTTGCGAATAACATAATGCATTTCTTAGAGACAGTGCACACTTTTATAAAAGAAGAGATTGCTTCTTCTATGCAACTGTTTTTAATCAGTACATTAAAATGATATGTTCTCTTAGCAGTTGCCAATAAAATAAGTCCTAAATGGAAGTGATTGTTTGTCATCTGTAGCCCCATGAAATGAGCTAAAACAAGCTCAATAACTCATGCATGCACACACTCCTATTGAATAATATGCATTCACCTGTATTGTGAATAGACCTAGGCTACATCTTGATTTACCCAGCTTATAAATAGAGATTAACCATTCAAATTAATGATTACCATTAAGTTGTTTTGTAGTTAGATTGGTAAAAACAAAGTCAAATTGATTGTGTGATTGTATAATTGATTCAATGAATGCTTACATGGCTGCCAATTTTTTTTTAACCTAATATTTTTCAAATGTAATACTCTTGAACAGAGCAGTAGCTGAGTTGATCTGTCTGAATCAAGTGCCATTCTGTGTCTTTGGCTAATATGCCTTTCTTTGTGGTATCAAGTACCGTGATGGTATCGCGTATTGTGATACTAAACCTGGGATTGGTATCGAAGTAAAAATTCTGGTATCGTGACAACAGTAGTTGATGCTATTAAATCTTTTCAGTCTGGGAAAGCTCCAGGGCTAGATGGAATACCAGTAGAGTTATACCAAGCCCTTTTCGATGTACTCAAGATCCACTTCTAGCATGTTTTAACTACTCCTATGAAAATGGTAAACTATCAGATATTCTGCAAGATGGTCTGATTTCACTATTACTGAAACAGGTGGTAAGTATAAAGATCCAGTCCATAAAACAAATTGGAGACCCCTTACACTTCAATGTTGTGATGCAAAAATCCTGGCAAAATGCATAGCGCATAGAATTAAATAGGTGTTGTCGGATATTATTCATCCGGATCAGACACTTTTTTACATGGACGATACATTGGTGATAATATAAGAAAAGTACTTGAAACAATAGAACACTATTAAACATCGAAGAAACCAGGTCTGTTCTTAATAGCAGATTTTGAGAAGGCCTTTGATAAAGTATGACTGGAATTTATATATACTGTAAATGCCTGGACTATTTTAGTTTAGGAGAATCCCTTATATAATTGGTTAAAGTTATGTATAGCAACCCCCATCGGGTTCTTGGTCACCTCTCTGACCAAGGCCCTTCTCCCCCGATTGCTCAGTTTGCGGCCAAAGAATGATGGAGGCCACTGTGTGAAGCCAGCTGGCAATGGCTTCCTAGATCCAAGATGGTTCCCTTTGGTATCAATAAGACTGTGGACAAGATCAAACTGATGGAGGGCTGCTCCTCTGGCATCCGTAAAGCTGTGCAGACCGCCTTCCGTCGCGCTGTGAGCCACCTGAGCCAGGTCAAGGACAAGCCTAGCAGCGAGCCCCCCGTGTAGCTCAGTTGGTAGAGCATGGCGTTTGCAACGCCAGGGTTGTGGGTTCCATTCCCACGGGGGGCCAGTATGAAAAATGTATGCACTCACTAACTGTAAGTCGCTCTGGATAAGAGCGTCTGCTAAATGACAAAAATTTAAAATGTGTTGTTGGGGACCTTCAATGCTGCGGATCTGTGCCTCGACACAATCCTGTCTCGGAGCACTCCGGACAATTCCTTCGACCTCATGGCTTGGTTTTTGCTCTGACATGCACTGTCAACTGTGGGACCTTATATAGACAGGTGTGTGCCTTTCCAAATCATGTCCAATCAATTGAATTTAGTTGTAGAAACATCTCAAGGATGATCAATGGAAACAGGATGCACCTGAGCTCAATTTCAAGTCTCATAGCAAAGGGTCTGAATACTTATCTAAATAAGGTATTTCAGTTTTTTTTTTTTTTGACATTTGCAAAAATATCTAAACCTGTTTTTGCTTCATCATTATGGAGTATTGTGTGTAGATTGCTGAGAAAAAAAATATATTTAATCCATTTTAGAATAAGGCTGTAGCGTAACAATGTGGGAAAAAGTCAAGGGGTCTGAATACTTTCCGAAGGCACTGTGTATGGGGAATACAACCATCTCAGCTCTGCAGATTTTCCTGCGAAGAGACAGAATCATTAGATCAGTTATTTTGGTATTGCCCCCTATGTAGCTTGTTTCTGGTCACAGGTTCAGGAATGGCAAAAAAAATCACAACATTTACCTAAAACTAACCCTACAAATGGCACTGCTGGGAGATTTGGAAAGCCATAATCAATCAACAATATAATAATACTCTTATTAAAAATATTCATATTTAACTTACCATCTGTATACTATGCGATTTAGAAAGGTTCAGAATTCATGTGAAACAGCACAGTAGAAAAATATATGGGTTTACGGAGAGGTGGTATGGGCTGAGAGTAGCTGAGGGGTGCGTTTAAAAAAACAATGATTTATAATAGTTATGACTTAAAACACTTTTTGTGTTTAAGTACAATCTATCCAGATGTAATGTACACTGAGTATACCAAACATTAGGAAGACCTTCCTAATATTGAGTTGCACCGCCCCCCCCCCCCTGCCCTCACAACAGCCTCAGTTCATCAAATCAAATCAAATCAATTTTTATTGGCCACATGTGCCGAATACAACAGGTGCAGACATTACAGTGAAATAATAATAATAATAATAATATAATTAATAATAATAATAATAATAATAATAATATGCCATTTAGCAGACGCTTTTATCCAAAGCGACTTACAGTCGTGCGTGCATACATTTTTGTGTATGGGTGGTCCCGGGGATCGAACCCACTACCTTGGCGTTACAAGCGCCGTGCTCTACCAGCTGAGCTACAGAGGACCACCCATACATAATGCTTACTTACAGCCCTTAACCAACAGTGCATTTATTTTTTATTAAAAAATAAAATAAAACAACAACAAAAAAGTGTTGAGAGAAAAAAGAGCAGAAGTAAAATAAAATAATAGTAGGGAGGCTATATATACAGGGGGGTACCGGTGCAGAGTCAATGTGCGGGGGCACCGGCTAGTTGAGGTAGTTGAAGTAATATGTACATCTGGGTAGAGTTAAAGTGACTATGCATAAATAATTAACAGAGTAGCAGCAGCGTAAAAAGATGGGGTGATTAGCTGTTCAGGAGTCTTATGGCTTGGGGGTAGAAGCTGTTGAGAAGTCTTTTGGACCTAGACTTGGCACTCCGGTACCGCTTGCCGTGCGGTAGCAGAGAGAACAGTCTATGACTAGGGTGGCTGGAGTCTTTGACAATTTTGAGGGCCTTCCTCTGACACCGCCTGGTATAGAGGTCCTGGATGGCAGGAAGCTTGTCCCCAGTGATGTACTGGGCCGTACGCAGTACCCTCTGTAGTGCCTTGCGGTCGGAGGCCAAGCAGTTGCCATACCAGGCGGTGATGCAACCAGTCAGGATGCTCTCGATGGTGCAGCTGTAGAATTTTTTGAGGATCTGAGGACCCATGGCAAATCTTTTCAGTCTCCTGAGGGGGAATAGGCTTTGTCGTGCCCTCTTTACGACTGTCTTGGTGTGTTTGGACCATGATAGTTCGTTGGTGATGTGGACACCAAGGAACTTGAAGCTCTCAACCTGTTCCACTACAGCCCCGTCGATGAGAATGGGGGCATGCTCAGTCCTCTTTTTTTTTCCTGTAGTCCACAATCATCTCCTTTGTCTTGGTCACGTTGAGGGAGAGGTTGTTATCCTGGCACCACACGGCCAGGTCTCTGACCTCCTCCCTATAGGCTGTCTCATCGTTGTCGGTGATCAGGCCTACCACTGTTGTGTCGTCTGCAAACTTAATGATGGTGTTGGAGTCGTGCCTGGCCATGCAGTCATGGGTGAACAGGGAGTACAGGAGGGGACTGAGCACGCACCCCTGAGGGGCCCCCGTGTTGAGGATCAGTGTGGCTGATGTGTTGTTACCTACCCTTACCACCTGGGGGCGGCCCATCAGGAAGTCCAGGATCCAGTTGCAGAGGGAGGTGTTTAGTCCCAGGATCCTTAGCTTAGTGATGAGCTTTGAGGGCACTATGGTGTTGAATGCTGAGCTGTAGTCAATGAATAGCATTCTCACGTAGGTGTTCCTCTTGTCCAGGTGGGAAAGGGCAGTGTGGAGTGCAGTAGAGATTGCATCATCTGTGGATCTGTTGGAGCGGTATGCAAATTGGAGTGGGTCTAGGGTTTCTGGGATAATGGTGTTGATGTGAGCCATGACCAGCCTTTCAAAGCACTTCATGGCTACAGACGTCAGTGCTACGGGTCGGTAGTCATTTAGGCAGGTTATCTTAGTGTCCTTGGGCACGGGGACTATGGTGGTCTGCTTGAAACATGTTGGTATTACAGACTCAGTCAGGGACATGTTGAAAATGTCAGTGAAGACACTTGCCAGTTGGTCAGCACATGCTCGGAGTACACGTCCTGGTAATCCGTCTGGCCCTGCGGCCTTGTGAATGTTGACCTGCTTAAAAGTCTTACTCACATCGGCTACGGAGAGCGTGATCACATAGTCATCAGTCAACAGCTGGTGCTCTCATGCATGCTTCAGTGTTGCTTGCCTCGAAGCGAGCATAGAAGTGGTTTAGCTCGTCTGGTAGGCTTGTGTCACTGGGAAGCTCGCGGCTGTGCTTCCCTTTGTAGTCTGTAATATTTTTCAAGCCCTGCCACATCCGACGAGCGTCAGAGCCGGTGTAGTACGATTCAATCTTAGTCCTGTATTGACTCTTTGCCTGTTTGAATGTTTGTCGGAGGGCATAGCGGGATTTCTTATAAGCGTCCGGGTTAGAGTCAATAATCCCGCTCCTTGAAAGCGGCAGCTCTACCCTTTAGCTCAGTGCGGATGTTTCCTGTAATCCATGGCTTCTGGTTGGGGTATGTACGTATGGTCACTGTGGGGACGACATCATCGATGCACTTATTGATGAAGCCAGTGAGTGATGTGGTGTACTCCTCAATGCTTTCTGAAGAATCCCGGAACATGTTCCAGTCTGTGCTAGCAAAACAGTCCTGTAGCTTAGCATCTGCGTCATCTGACCACTTTTTTATTAACCGAGTCACTGGTGCTTCCTGCTTTAGTTTTTGCTTATAAGCAGGAATCAGGAGGATAGAGTTATGGTCAGATTTGCCAAATGGAGGGCGAGGGAGAGCTTTGTATGCGTCTCTCTATGTGGAGTAAAGGTGGTCTAGAGTTTTTTTTCCTCTGGTTGCACATTTAACATGCTGGTAGAAATTAGGTAGAACGGATTTAAGTTTCCCTGCATTAAAGTCCCCGGCCACTAGGAGCGCTGCCTCTGGATGAGCGTTTTCCTGTTGACTTATGGCCTTATACAGCTCATTCAGTGCAATCTTAATGCCAGCATTGGTTTGTGGTGGTAAATAGACAGCTATGAAAAATATAGATGAAAACTCTCTTGGTAAATAGTGTGGTCTACATCTTATCATAAGATGCAAAACCTTGTGCACCAGCTGTTGTTTACAAATATACACAGACCGCCACCCCTTGTCTTACCGGAGTCAGACGTTCTATCCTGCCGATGTAGCGTATAGCCCGCTAGCTGTATGTTATCCATGTCGTCGCCACGACTCGGTGAAACATAAGATATTACAGTTTTTAATGTCCCGTTGGTAGGATAACCGTAATCTTAGGTCATCCAATTTATTTTCCAATGATTGAAGATTGGCTAATAGGATTGATGGGAGCGGCAGTTTACTCGCTCGCCGTCGGATCCTTACAAGGCACCCCAACCTACGTCCACGATATCTCCGTCTCTTCCTCATGCGAATGACGGGGATTTGGGCCTTGTCGGGTGTCTGTAGGATATCCTTCGCAGCCGCCTCGTTGAAGAAAAATTATTCATCCAATACGAGGTGAGTAATCGCTGTCCTGATATCCAGAAGCTCTTTTTGGTTATAACAGACGATGGCAGAAACATTATGTACAAAATAAATTACAAAATAGTCGGAAAAACACACATAATAGTACAATTGGTTAAAGGGCTGTACTACATCGGGACATGGACTACAAGATGTCGACAGGGATGCTGGCCCACGTTGTCTCTAATGCGTCCCACAGTTGTGTCAAGTTGGCTGGATGTCCTTTGGGTGGTGGACCATTCTTGATACACACAGGAAACATTTGAGCGTGAAAAACCCAGCAGCATTGCAATTCTTGACACAAACCAGTGCGCCTGGCACTTGCTACCATACCCCATTCAAAAGCACTTAAATCTTTTGTCTTGCCTATTCACCCGCTGAATGGCACACATACACACTCCATGTCTCAATTGTCTCAAGGCTTAAAAATCATTCTACACCGATTTGAAGTGGATTTAACAAGTGACCTCAACAAGGGATCATAGCTTTCACCTGGATTCACCTGGTCAGTGTGTCATGGAAAGAGCAGGTGTCCTTTAATGTTTTGTATACTCAGTGTATATCAAATACCTATATTTTTGCAATGTAACTACTATGTAAAAAAAAGTGCCTTGTGTGTAGAATGTACATGTAATATAAAATAAAAATATGTAAAAACAAAGTTATTTTTGTCCTCCAAAGAGGGGAAAAAAATTATACGAAGAATTGAGCGTGTCCTGCCCTGAAGTGTTGTACTTGGCAAACCTGCAGAAGTGGAATTCCCTGTGTGTGTCGTCGTGGTAATTATTCTAATCAAAGGAGAGACTTTTAGATTTCTTCAAAATCATCAAGCTTTATTCATAATTACTGCAGTAATGGAGCGTTAACGGTCACCCAATGGTGTAGAGTTAAGGCCCAAATAAGCAGGGTTAGGTTACAACTCTTTATAGTCTTTCTGAGTCCTCGTGACAAAGAACAGATATGTGAAATTATACAAAGGTGTGTGTGTGTGTGTGTGTGTGTATATGTATGTATGTATGTATGTATGTGTGTGTGTGTGTGTGTGTGTGTATATATATATATATATATATATATATATATATATATATATATATATATATATATATATATATATATATATATATATATATATATATATATATATATATATATATTAGTCACGAACGTTGAGAGACGGGTCAGACCAAGGTGCAGCGTGAAAAGCGTACATTTACATTTAAGTCATTTAGCAGACGCTCTTATCCAGAGCGACTTACAGTTAGTGAGTGCATACATTATTTTATTTTTTTGTTTTGTTTTATTTTATACCCCCCGTGGGAAACGAACCCACAACCCTGGCGTTGCAAACGCCATGCGCTACAAACTGAGCTACATCCCCTGCCGGCCATTCCCTCCCCTACCCTAGACGACGCTGGGCCAATTGTGCGCCGCCCCATGGGTCTCCCGGTCGCGGCCGGCTACGACAGAGCCTGGATTCGAACCAGGCTAGGCCGCTCCAGGACCTTGAGATGCTTCTTACGGAGCCACTCCTTAGTTGCCCTGGCTGTGTGTTTCGGGTCGTTGTCATGCTGGAAGACCCATCCACGACCCATCTTCAATGCTCTTACTGAGGGAAGGAGGTTGTTGGCCAAGATCTCACGATACATGGCCCCATCCATCCTCCCCTCAATACGGTGCAGTCGTCCTGTCCCCTTTGCAGAAAAGCATCCCCAAAGAATGATGTTTCCACCTCCATGCTTCATGGTTGGGATGGTGTTCTTGGGGTTATACTCGTCCTTCTTCTTCCTCCAAACACGGCGAGTGGAGTTTAGACCAAAAAGCTCTATTTTTGTCTCATCAGACCACATGACCTTCTACCATTCCTCCTCTGGATCATCCAGATGGTCATTGGCAAACTTCAGACAGGCCTGGACATGTGTGGACAGGTGTCTTTTATACAGGTAACGAGTTCAAACAGGTGCAGTTAATACAGGTAATGAGTGGAGAATTAATTACTTAAAAATCATACAATGTGATTTTCCGGATTTTTGTTTTAGATTCCGTCTCTCACAGTTGAAGTGTACCTATGATAAAAATTACAGACCTCTACATGCTTTGTAAGTAGGAAAACCTGCAAAATCGGCAGTGTATCAAATACTCCCCACTGTGTGTGTGTGTGTGTATGTATGTGTATACAGTGGGGGAAAAAAGTATTTAGTCAGCCACCAATTGTGCAAGTTCTCCCACTTAATAAGATGAGAGGCCTGTAATTTTCATCATAGGTACACGTCAACTATGACAGACAAATTGAGAAAAAATTATCCAGAAAATCACATTGGAGGATTTTTAATGAATTTATTTGCAAATTATGGTGGAAAATAAGTATTTGGTCACCTACAAACAAGCAAGATTTCTGGCTCTCACAGACCTGTAACATATTCTTTAAGAGGCTCCTCTGTCCTCCACTCGTTACCTGTATTAATGGCACCTGTTTGAACTTGTTATCAGTATAAAGGACACCTGTCCACAACCTCAAACAGTCACACTCCAAACTCCACTATGGCCAAGACCAAAGAGCTATCAAAGGACACCAGAAACAAAATTGTAGACCTGCACCAGGCTGGGAAGACTGAATCTGCAATAGGTAAGCAGCTTGGTTTGAAGAAATCAACTGTGGGAGCAATTATTAGGAAATGGAAGACATACAAGACCACTGATAATCTCCCTTGATCTGGGGCTCCACGCAAGATCTCACCCTGTGGGGTCAAAATGATCACAAGAACGGTGAGCAAAAATCCCAGAACCACACGGGGGGACCTAGTGAATGACCTGCAGAGAGCTGGGACCAAAGTAACAAAGCCTACCATCAGTAACACACTACGCCGCCAGGGACTCAAATCCTGCAGTGCCAGACGTGTCCCCCTGCTTAAGCCAGTACATGTCCAGGCCCGTCTGAAGTTTGCTAGAGTGCATTTGGATGATCCAGAAGAGGGTTGGGAGAATGTCATATGGTCAGATGAAACCAAAATATAACTTTTTGGTAAAAACTCAACTCGTCGTGTTTGGAGGACAAAGAATGCTGAGTTGCATCCAAAGAACACCATACCTACTGTGAAGCATGGGGATGGAAACATCATGCTTTGGGGCTGTTTTTCTGCAAAGGGACCAGGACGACTGATCCGTGTAAAGGAAAGAATGAATGGGGCCATGTATCGTGAGATTTTGAGTGAAAACCTCCTTCCATCAGCAAGGGCATTGAAGATGAAACGTGGCTGGGTCTTTCAGCATGACAATAATCCTAAACACACCGCCCGGGCAACGAAGGAGTGGCTTCGTAAGAAGCATTTCAAGGTCCTGGAGTGGCCTAGCCAGTCTCCAGATCTCAACCCCATAGAAAATCTTTGGAGGGAGTCCGTGTTGCCCAGCGACAGCCCCAAAACATCACTGCTCTAGAGGAGATCTGCATGGAGGAATGGGCCAAAATACCAGCAACAGTGTGTGAAAACCTTGTGAAGACTTACAGAAAACGTTTGACCTGTGTCATTGCCAACAAAGGGTATATAACAAAGTATTGAGAAACTTTTGTTATTGACCAAATACTTATTTTCCACCATAATTTGCAAATAAATTCATTAAAAATCCTACAATGTGATTTTCTGGAAAAAAATCTCATTTTGTCTGTCATAGTTGACGTGTACCTATGATGAAAATTACAGGCTTCTCTCATTGTCACGATCGTCGGGAACAGAGGACCAAGGCGCAGCGTGGAAGGTGAACAGACTTTTTATTTAATGATACACTAACAAAAACAACAAAACGATAACGTGACGTCCTTGGCTCAAACACAACCTAATTGGAACAAGATCCCACAAACACTGTGGGAAAACTGGCTGCTTAAGTATGGTTCCCAATCAGAGACAACAAGCAACAGCTGATACACGTTGCCTCTGATTGAGAACCACACTGGCCAACATAGAAATACTAAACTAGAACGAAAACAAATGAAAACTCACACCCTGGCTCAACATACTAGAGTCCCCAGAGCCAGGGCGTGACAGTACCCCCCCCCCCAAAGGCGCGGACTCCGACCGCGCCAACCAAACACCACAGGGGAGGGACCGGGTGGGCACTCCGCCTTGGCGGCGGATCCGGCTCCGGGCATGATCCCCACTCCATCTCTAACCCCCCAAAGTACCCCTGGTCCGGTCTGGCCCTGCTGACCGGAGCTGGACTGCACACTGGTGGAGCGGATTGCTCTAGCTCCGGCGTGAAGCAGCTGACCCGTGCTGAACCAGGCACCGGTGGAACAGGCACAGGCTGTGCCGGACTGACGACGCACACCACTGGCTGGGTGTGGGGAGCAGGAACGGGCCGAGCCGGGCTGACGAAACGCACCCCTGACTTGGTGCGGGGAGTAGGAGCGGGCCGGACAGGGCTGACGAAGCGCACCACTGACTTGGTGCGGGGAGCAGGAACGGGCCGGACCGGGCTGACGAAGCGCACCACTGACTTGGTGCGGGGAGCAGGAACGGGCCGGACCGGGCTGACGAAGCGCACCACTGACTTGGTGCGGGGAGCAGGAGCGGGCCGGACCGGGCTGACGAAGCGCACCACTGACTTGGTGCGGGGAGCAGGAACGGGCCGGACCGGGCTGGCGAAGCGCACCACAGGCTCGATGCGGGGAGCAGGAACAGGCCGGACCGGGCTGGCGACGCGCACCACAGGCTTGATGCGAGGGACAGGAACAGGCCGGACCGTACTGGGGACACACACCACTGGCCCTACGCGGGGATCAGGAACGGGCCGGACCGGACTGGTAACACACCCCAGTACCTCTCGCCTTGCCTCTACACTTTCCTTCCCCTTTGTGACCAGTGGCCCCCTTAACCTGGCGGCCTCCTCTGCCAACCCGCTGGACCGCTCTATCGCGGCCTCCTGCTGCCCCGTCGTCCACGGCGTGAGCCCCCCCCTAAAAATTTTCTGGGTGTCTCTCCTCCCCATGGACCAGGCCTCCCTAGTTCTCGCCAGACTCTCACCCCACTGCTCCAAAGTCCAACCTCTCTGCTCTTCACTTGGCTTGGCCCAGTCGAGACTCTTAATCCACTGCTCCATAGTCCAACCTCTCTGCTCTTCACTTGGCTTGGCCCAGTCGAGACTCCTGCTCAACTGATCCCAGGTCCATCCTCTCTCCTCTTCACGCTGCTTGGTCCTGTCTTGGTGGGATCTTCTGTCACGATCGTCGGGAACAGAGGACCAAGTCGCAGCGTGGAAGGTGAACATACTTTTTATTTAATGATACACGAACAAAAACGATAATGTGACGTCCTTGGCTCAAACACAACCTAATTGGAACAAGATCCCACGAACACCGTGGGAAAACTGGCTGCTTAAGTATGGTTCCCAATCAGAGACAACAAGCAACAGTTGATACACGTTGCCTCTGATTGAGAACCACACTGGCCAACATAGAAATACTAAACTAGAACGAAAACAAATGAAAACTCACACCCTGGCTCAACATACTAGAGTCCCCAGAGCCAGGGCGTGACACTCATCTTTTTAAGTCGGAGAACTTGCACAATTGGTGGCTGACTAAATACTTTTTTCCCCCACTGTATGTATGTATGTATGTATGCATGTATGCATGTATGCATGCATAAATCCAGTGTTCGTTAATAACCTGGAGGCTTTTTATACATGGTTTAAAATATAAACATACAGGTAACTGCCAAAATAATGGAAACCATTGAGTAAACGAGGGATACAAAGTATATTGAAAGCAGGTGCTTCCACACAGGTGTTGTTTTTGAGTTAAATAACAAATTAACATCCCATTATGTTTAGGTTCGTGTATAAAAATGCTGGGCCACGAGTGGTTACTGAATGGTTTGATGAACATGAAAATTATATAAACCATATGCCATGGCCTTCTCAGTAACCAGATCTCAACCCAATTGAACACTTCTGGGAGATTCTGGAGCGGTGCCTTAGACAGCGTTTTCCAACACCATCAACAAAACACCAAATGATGGAATTTCTTGTGGAAGAACTTCTTCCATTTAAGAATGATGGAGGCCAAGGTGCATTGAAGCTGTTCTGGCTCGTGGTGGCCCAACGCTCTAAGATACTTTATGTTGGCGTTTATTTTATTTTGGCAGTTACATTTATATCCGTGAAAAAAAGACGCTGAATAAACAAAATAATAAATGGTTGTCATAATAAATCTGCAGTTTCCAATTTTGGGATGATCTGAAAATCCTGTGGCAATGTAAGTTTTTCTTAATTAAAAAGTGTTGGTCATAAAGTGGGTCCATAAAACGTCAAGCTGCTGTTATGGAGGGATTCACAAACCTCCATTGTTCCGCTGATGCTGTCGTGTTAGGGCGATTGCTTTATGGTTTCAATATAAGGGGATGAGCCATACTAAGACCATAACTTTGTCTGAACGGATTTATTGCACATTGACCGTAATTATAAACATTTAATATTCTCAACTACCCTCGGAGTACTATTATCCATTTTGCAGAGTCATGTTTTTCAATCCATTTTGAATGGAATGCCTAATCCCTATTGTCCTCTCACAGTATGCCTTGTATGGGTAATTTGAGAGCAGGATTATCTAATATCCAGTGGTATAAACCATTTCAGGAAAATACCACTTACAGTGGGGAAAAAAAGTATTTAGTCAGCCACCAATTGTGCAAGTTCTCCCACTTAAAAAGATGAGAGAGGCCTGTAATTTTCATCATAGGTACACGTCAACTATGACAGACAAAATGAGAAAAAATAATCCAGAAAATCACATTGTAGGATTTTTAATGAATTTATTTGCAAATTATGGTGGAAAATAAGTATTTGGTCAATAACAAAAGTTTCTCAATACTTTGTTATATACCCTTTGTTGGCAATGACACAGGTCAAACGTTTTCTATAAGTCTTCACAAGGTTTTCACACACTGTTGCTGGCCCAATTTTGGCCCATTCCTCCATGCAGATCTCCTCTAGAGCAGTGATGTTTTGGGGCTGTCGCTGGGCAACACCGACTTTCAACTCCCTCCAAAGATTTTCTATGGGGTTGAGATCTGGAGACTGGCTAGGCCACTCCAGGACCTTGAAATGCTTCTTACGAAGCCACTCCTTCGTTGCCCGGGCGGTGTGTTTGGGATCATTGTCATGCTGAAAGACCCAGCCACGTTTCATCTTCAATGCCCTTGCTGATGGAAGGAGGTTTTCACTTAAAAATTCACGATACATGGCCCCATTCATTCTTTCCTTTACACGGATCAGTCGTCCTGGTCCCTTTGCAGAAAAACAGCCCCAAAGCATGATGTTTCCACCCCCATGCTTCACAGTAGGTATGGTGTTCTTTGGATGCAACTCAGAATTCTTTGTCCTCCAAACACGACGAGTTGAGTTTTTACCAAAAAGTTCTATTTTGGTTTCATCTGACCATATGACATTCTCCCAATCCTCTTCTGGATCATCCAAATGCACTCTAGCACACTTCAGACGGGCCTGGACATGTACTGGCTAAAGCAGGGGGACACGTCTGGCGCAGCAGGATTTGAGTCCCTGGCGGCGTAGTGTGTTACTGATGGTAGGCTTTGTTACTTTGGTCCCAGCTCTCTGCAGGTCATTCACTAGGTCCCCCCGTGTGGTTCTGGGATTTTTTCTCACCGTTCTTGTGATCATTTTGACCCCACGGGGTGAGATCTTGCGTGGAGCCTCAGATCGAGGGAGATTATCAGTGGTCTTGTATGTCTTCCATTTCCTAATAATTGCTCCCACAGTTGATTTCTTCAAACCAAGCTGCTTACCTATTGCAGATTCAGTCTTCCCAGCCTGTTGCAGGTCTACAATTTTGTTTCTGGTGTCCTTTGACAGCTCTTTGGTCTTGGCCACAGTGGAGTTTGGAGTGTGACTGTTTGAGGTTGTGGACAGGTGTATTTTATACTGATAACAAGTTCAAACAGGTGCCATTAATACAGGTAACGAGTGGAGGACAGAGGAGCCTCTTAAAGAAGAAGTTACAGGTCTGTGAGAGGCAGAAATCTTGCTTGTTTGTAGGTGACCAAATACTTATTTTCTACCATAATTTGCAAATAAATTCATAAAAAATCCTACAATGTGATTTTCTGGATTTTGTTTTCTAAATGTGTCTGTCATAGTTGACGTGTACCTATGATGAAAATTACAGGCCTCTCTCATCTTTTTAAGTGGGAGAACTTGCACAATTGGTGGCTGACTAAATACTTTTTTTCCCCACTGTATTTCCTAAAGTCTCCAAAGCTATATCATAGGATATAAGCACTAATATTGCCTGTAACTGCCTATAATCACACACTTTATACGATAGGTGATGGTCTCTCATACTTTATGAGAGATCATCACCCAATGACGTATCCATATGTGATGGTCTCTCATAAAGTATACACAGGACAGCCCTGCACAGCAGAGAGCAGGTTTGTGTGAACACTCTTTGAGTGTGTCGTCAGTGTAGATTACCGCTCATCCATTTTCACCAGCGGCAAATAGTGCTTATCACATATTGACACATTCAACAGCAGAGCAGATAACTCTGTCCCCAGTCCCAGGGCTATTTGTGCTTGCTGCCTTCCAATGAACTACTACTCACATTCACAACTCCATATTCCTATTCCCATTTATTAGCAGCTCAGGCAATCCAATACTTATCCCCAATGGAGACGCATGTGTCATAAAAGCTCATTTATGCTTGATCCGAAATGTGGTCAGAGGCTCCATATGTAGGGCCTCCAGAGGCGTGCAGAGACCAAATTGAGCTCTGTACCGCATCACTGTGCGCCTCCCAAATCTCTATATAGCTCCGCATCGACATGATTGGTTGACGGTAGGTGGGGCGGGCAGGAGGTCCTGTATAAACACAAACTCACTTCCTTCACTACAGCTCTGCTCAACAGCTCTGCGAAGCGCAAGAAGTATGAATGCCCTGACTCCTGCAGAGGCCTTAAATGCTGCATGGCCAATGCAGACGTCGGAATGACCATGCAGCGCCTTTAATGCCTCGATCACACCTACAGTGTCATTGCGCAAAATGGTACGCAGCATCATCTGGATATGTGTTCAACAAAAGTTCAACATTCACCTTCTGCTACCATTTCTGTTAAACTGTCTACGCATACAGTTTGATGCATACGTTTGATAAATCCAACGGATGCACCACACAGAACCAACTGCCTCTGCAACTCAATGCTGCAAGGCAAACGCAGTGTTCCATTGGAAATTAATGTACTTCTGGTGTACCAAAATGCAATGACGCTGTCGGTGTGATCGAGGCGTAAGAGACCACATGAGAGGCACAAGTTAACAGACAATGTTAATGTCACCAGTGTAGCCTACTGTGTGCACAGGGTCACAGTGATACTGTGGAGCAGTGGATTTGTAGCAAATGTGTATCAGATAGGGCTTTCATCATTGTGATGGGATGTGAAAATGCCATTGTTCAACCCACAGATCTGACCTGCCTCCCCTCTTTGGGATCAGGCACTATTAAAGTGGCTCCCAGGGGGCAGCGAGGTGACGGACATCCTTCACAGGAACTCATCTTACCTCATCCCACCTTCAACCACTGGAGGAGTAACGCTCTACTCCTATCCCTCCAACCACTGAAGGAGTAATCCTCTACTTTCCTCTCCTCTCCCTCCACCCACTGAAGGAGTAACCCTTTACTCTTCTCGCCTCTCCATCCTCTTCTATCTCCCAACTTTGATTGCTTACCTCACATGTAGAACCATCCAGAGGATGGCAGGCGCCAGAGTGAATGTAAATGTGTTTTGTTTGAGGAGGTAGGCGAGAGCAGAGCGTATCTCAGACAACAGGGGATAGCCTGAGGGTTTGATCGTGGAAATGCTTCTGTATCTTTTCCTCCTAATGACTCAGTTATTCTTGGAATGTCAATGGCCCTTGTCTTTGAGAGCATACGTTTAAATTCTCTGGGTTGATGAGCGTACTTATAATTAGAAGAAGTATGTCTCTTGGTATCCAGACTACCTCATGACATAATGTATTAAAAGATTGTCATTTTTATGCAGATATAATCCTGAAACTTTCAAAACATACTATCCAAGTTGTTCACCTTGTGAAATCGGAGACATCTCAGTAGATCATGCCAAAATACATGCTGTGCTCCCTTCAGTTTTTTTGGCTTCATCTTACACCTTTTTTGCAACGTTCATTACAAGAACACTGCGAGAAGTCTTCCGTGGGAGAACACACTGATGTACTGCCACATGGACGTGCAGTGAGATGATGCACACATTAGTCAGTTGCACAGAGCCAGCCTGCTGGTATATAATTCAAGCACTGTCTTCCTCTAGTCTGTACTCTGTAATTTGAGGAGGACTTGTCTTAGAGGATTAGACAATGCTTCAATCTATTGTCCACTCTGAATTCAATAACTGGAAGTGCACTGAAATTGATCACAATTGCAGTTAAGGGAGGTAAATATAGCTGTGAGCTTGGATGCCACAAGATAAGAGGTTGGAGTGGAGTGCAGGCAGATCAGCACTCAGTACATACCTGTAGTCTCCTCTACAGGCTTTCATTTATACTGAAACGGGTACAGTATACACTGTCATGACCGATATTGATTTCTGTATTGCTTAGCACAGGGTGTGTGCATGCATCAATGTGTGTGTGGCTTAGAGAAGAGAGGGTATCGTTGTCATAGAAATGATTATCCATTATAAGTGGAGGTTACGGTGTGTACTGTGTAACCTTCTCTTTCTGTGTTCTAAGAGGCAGGCTGTATAAGTGTTGTTCTCCCGTCTTCATGTCTCTCGGATGGCAGATACGGCGTCAGACTGTGGAACGTCTCCAGAGAGCAGGGTGCCACATTCAGCCGTGCCAATTACATTTTTTGTTGTTTGTTACCAGGCCAGTTCTGTCTGTTTGAGCCTAGGAACGTGCCACTGTCTATAAAGCCATGTGCATCCTTACCTGTCGGATCAATGCCAGACAGAGAAACAGTAAATGAGTCTGACAGTGGATATAGCAGAAATATGAAATGCACAGTGAGACACAATTCTCTCCATTGGCACAGTGCTGAGGCTGTTTGATTTGATTCTAGTGCAGGCAACGGCACCAGGCTTTGAATGCGTTGGAGTAGCCCGAAGGTACTAATGTCTCCAGGACATTCCGAGGTGCATAATGAGGGAAAAAAAGTATTTGATCCCCTGCTGATTTTGTACGTTTGCCCACTGACAAAGAAATGATCAGTCTAATTTTAATGGTAGGTTTATTTGAACAGTGAGAGACAGAATAACAACAAAAAAATCCAGAAAAACGCATGTCAAAAATGTTATGAATTGATTTGCATTTGAATGAGGGAAATAAGTATTTGACCCCTCTGCAAGACATGACTTAGTACTTGGTGGCAAAACCCTTGTTGGCAATCACAGAGGTCAGACGTTTCTTGTAGTTGGCCACCAGGTTTGCACACATCTCAGGAGGGATTTTGTCCCACTCCTCTTTGCAGATCTTCTCCAAGTCATTAAGGTTTCGAGGCTGACGTTTGGCAAATCGAACCTTCAGCTCCCTCCACAGATTTTCTATGGGATTAAGGTCTGGAGACTGGCTAGGCCACTCCAGGACCTTAATGTGCTTCTTCTTGAGCCACTCCTTTGTTGCCTTGACTGTGTGTTTTGGGTCATTGTCATGCTGGAATACCCATCCATGACCCATTTTCAATGCCCTGGCTGAGGGAAGGAGGTTCTCACCCAAGATTTGACGGTACATGGCCCCATCCATCATCCCTTTGATGTGGTAAAGTTGTCCTGTCCCCTTAGCAGAAAAACACCCCCAAAGCATAATGTTTCCACCTCCATGTTTGACGGTGGGGATGGTGTTCTTGGGGTCATAGGCAGCATTCCTCCTCCTCCAAACACGGCGAGTTGAGTTGATGCCAAAGGGCTCCATTTTGGTCACATCTGACCACAACACTTTCACGCAGTTCTCCTCTGAATCATTCAGATGTTCATTGGCAAACTTCAGACGGCCCTGTATATGTGCTTTCTTGAGCAGGGGGACCTTGCGGCCGCTGCAGGATTTCAGTCCTTCACAGCGTAGTGTGTTACCAATTGTTATCTTGGTGACTATGGTCCCAGCTGCCTTGAGATCATTGACAAGATCCTCCCGTGTAGTTCTGGGCTGATTCCTCACCGTTCTCATGATCATTGCAACTCCACGAGGTGAGATCTTGCATGGAGCCCCAGGCCGAGGGAGATTGACAGTTCTTTTGTGTTTCTTCCATTTGCGAATAATCGCACCAACTGTTGTCACCTTCTCACCAAGCTGCTTGGCGATGGTCTTGTAGCCCATTCCAGTCTTGTGTAGGTCTACAATCTTGTCCCTGACATCCTTGGAGAGCTCTTTGGTCTTGGCCATGGTGGAGAGTTTGGAATCTGATTGATTGATTGCTTCTGTGGACAGGTGTCTTTTATACAGGTAACAAACTGAGATTAGGAGTACTCCCTTTAACGGTGTGCTCCTAATCTCAGCTCGTTACCTGTATAAAAGACACCTGGGAGCCAGAAATCTTTCTGATTGAGAGGGGGTCAAATACTTATTTCCCTCATTAAAATGCAAATCAATTTCTAACAATTTTGACATGCATTTTTCTGGATTGTTTTGTTATTCTGTGTCTCACTGTTCAAATAAACCTACCATTAAAATTATAGACTAATCATTTCTTTGTCAGTGGGCAAACGTACAAAATCAGCAGGGTATCAAATACTTTTTTCCCTCACTGTATGATGCATTTGTGAGATTATTTCAAATAAAGAGGTAGTTCATTGTGATTGGGCAGTAGCCTGAGATAATGATCCAGCCAGCCCCACAGCATGTCAGAAAAATTATGGCAGATAGCAAGTGGGTATTTGCTAGCATACTAGCAGATACCCATAGACTTCCAGGCGGGAAAGCGGCCTCCGTTCGCTATTGGAGTGCATACGGATGATGTCTTTTTTCCCCTGTCCCTGTTCCTGCCCATTTGATGTTGGGCCATTCTAAATCTAAACTAATTTGACAGATTAGTAAAGACAAGATTAAATTGATAATAGTCTGATGGGTGAAAATAAGATCACTTGATGAAAGAACAGCTTGTGCTACCTGATGCAAGGAACAGAGCACTAGTTTTCTTTGCCACCTTCTCAAATCATCAATAGCCTATAGTCGCATCATGCAGCCCATATATGTTTTGATTTCTAAGACATTCTAAGGTTTGTATCATTCACAACTAAAGTTGCCAAATAACTAAATCTAGCGTAGGCTATAAGACCTGTTTCAAATGATCACTTTTACACTCAACATAACCACTTCGTATGCGCAATCGCTTCGGAATGGGAAAAATAACCTTCAATTATATTCTTCTTACTATAAAATCATATAGTATAAAATAATGGTACGGCACTTGTAAGCATATCTTGTCTGCTAAATGATCAAGCCTATGGCATGGCATACAGTCATATTCTGTTCTTCTGAAATACATTTGGAAATGATTCAGACCCCTTGACTTTTTCCACATTTTGTTACGTTACAGCCTTATTCTAAAATGGATTAAAATAGTTTTTTCCCCTCAATCTACACACAATAGCCCATAATGACAAAGCAAAAACAGGTTTTAAGACATTTCTGCTAATTTATAAAAAATAAAAACTGATATCACATTTACAAGTATTCAGACCCTTTACTCAGTACTTTTTAGAAACACCTTTGGCAGTGATTTAAGGGTATGATGCTACAAGCTTGGCATGCCTGTATTTGGGGAGTTTCTCCCATTCTTCTCTGCAGATCCTCTCAAGCTCTGTCAGGTTGGATGGGGAGCGTCGCTGCACAGCTATTTTCAGGTCTCTCCAGAGATGTTCGATCGGGTTCAAGTCCGGGCTCTGGCTGGGCCACTCAAGGACGTTCAGAGACTTGTCCCGAAGCCACTCCTGCGTTGTCTTGGCTGTGTGCTTTGGGTCGTTTATACTGTTGGAAGGTGAACATTCGCCCCAGTCTGAGGTCCTGAGCGCTCTGGAGCAGGTTTTCATCAAGGATCTCTCTGTACTTTCATCTTTCCCTCGATCCTGACTAGTCTCCCAGGTCCTGCTGCTAAAAACCATCCCCACAGCATGACGCTGCCTCCACCATGCTTCATCTTCCAGAGAATCTTGTTTCTTATGGTCTGAGAATCCTTTCGGTGCCTTTTGGCAAACTCCAAGCGGGCTGTCATGTGCATTTTACTGAGGTGTGGCTTCCGTCTGGCCACTCTACCATAAAGGCCTGATTAGTGGAGTACTGCAGAGATTGTTGTCCTTCTAGAAGGTTCGCCCATCTCCACAGAGGAAGTTTGGTTCTCTATCAGTGACCATCGGGTTCCTGGTAACCTCCCGGACCAAGGCCCTTCTCCCCCGATTGCTCAGTTTGGCCGGGTGGCCAGCTCTAGGAAGAGCCTTGGTGGTTCCAAACTTCTTCCATTTAAGAATGATGGAGGCCACTGTGTTCTTGGGGACCTTCAATGCTGCAGAACTGTTTTGGTACCCTTCCCCAGATCTGTGCCTCGACACAATCCTGTCTCAGAGCTCTTTGGACAATTCCTTCGACCTCATGGCTTGGTTTTTGCTCTGACA